TGGGACACGGGACATGGGACTGTGACAGCACCGCCTGGGACACGGGACACGGGACATGGGACATGGGACATGGGACTGTGACAGCACCGCCTGGGACACGGGACATGGGACTGTGACAGCAGCGCCTGGGACACGGGACACGGGACATGGGACATGGGACATGGGACTGTGACAGCACCGCCTGGGACACAGGACACGGGACACGGGACATGGGACTGTGACAGCACCGGCTGGGACACGGGACATGGGACATGGGACATGGGACTGTGACAGCACCGCCTGGGACATGGGACACGGGACTGTGACAGCACCGCCTGGGACACGGGACATGGGACACGGGACATGGGACACAGGACATGGGACATGGGACTGTGACAGCACCGCCTGGGACACGGGACATGGGTCTGTGACAGCACCGCCTGGGACACGGGACACGGGACTGTGACAGCACCGCCTGGGACACGGGACACGGGACACGGGACATGGGACATGGGACTGTGACAGCACCGCCTGGGACACGGGACATGGGACACAGGACATGGGACTGTGACAGCACCGCCTGGGACACGGGACATGGGACACGGGACACAGGACACGGGACTGTGACAGCACCGCCTGGGACACGGGACACGGGACATGGGACTGTGACAGCACCGCCTGGGACATGGGACACGGGGACATGGGGACAGGGGTGGCACAGGGACCCACACAGCCCAGCACGCCCAGGGACTGTGAAAGCACTGCCTGGGACACGGGGACATGGGGACACAGGGGCAGGGGTGACACAGAGGTGGCACAGAGGTGATACAGGGGTGGCACAGGAGTGGCACAGAGGTGGCACAGGGGTGGCACAGAGGTGACACAGGGGTGGCACAGGAGTGGCACAGAGGTGGCACAGGGGTGGCACAGGAGTGGCACAGAGGTGGCACAGAGGTGGCACAGGGGTGGCACAGAGGTGACACAGGGGTGACACAGAGGTGGCACAGGGGTGGCAGGGGTGGCAGCCAGGCCGCCCCAGCCCACCCCGCTCACCTGCAGCCCCTCGGGGTCGGCCGTGGGGCTGGTGCTGAACAGGGACACCTTGGGGCCGGCTCTGTCGGGGCGCTCGTAGAAAATCAGCTCCCCCCGGCCGTCCTGGGGACAGGTGGGGACAGTGAGCACAGGGACAGGTGGGGACAGTGAGCACGGGGACAGGTGGGGACAGTGAGCACGGGGACAGGTGAGGATCAGGACAGGTGAGCACAGGTGAGCACGGGGACAGGTGAGCATGGGGACAGGAAAGGGAAAGGGACAGGTGAGCATGGGGACAGGTGAGGATGGGGACAGGTGAGGACAGGGACAGGTGAGCATGGGGACAGGTGAGGACAGGGACAGGTGAGCATGGGGAGAGGTGAGGATGGGGACAGGTGAGNATGGGGACAGGTGAGGACAGGGACAGGTGAGCATGGGGACAGGTGAGGACAGGGACAGGTGAGCATGGGGAGAGGTGAGGATGGGGACAGGTGAGCATGGGGACAGCTGAGGACAGGGACAAGTGAGGATGGGGACAGGGATAGATTAGCACAGTGAACGGAGGCACAGCCGAGCACAGGGACAGGCACAGGTGAGCACGGTGAGCAGAGGCACAGGTGAGGATGGACACAGGTGAGCACAGTGAGCACGGGGACAGGCACAGGTGAGGATGGACACAGGTGAGCACAGTGAGCAGAGGGACGGGCACAGGTGAGGATGGACACAGGTGAGCACAGTGAGCACAGGGACGGGCACAGGTGAGGATGGACACAGGTGAGCACAGTGAGCAC